CAGGAATCCCCTCTCCCAGCACTGGGATGAGCAGGAATCCCCTCTCCCAGCACTGGGATAATCAGGAATCCCCTCACCCAGCGCTGGGATAATCAGGAATCCCCTCTCCCAGCATTGGGATAATCAGGAATCCCCTCTCCCAGCGCTGGGATGAGCAGGAATCCCCTCTCCCAGCGCTGGGATAATCAGGAATCCCCTCTCCCAGGGCTGGGATGAGCAGGAATCCCCTCTCCCAGCGCTGGGATGAGCAGGAATCCCCTCTCCCAGGGTTGGGATAAGCAGGAATCCCCTCTCCCAGCGCTGGGATGAGCAGGAATCCCCTCTCCCAGCGCTGGGATGAGCAGGAATCTCCTCTCCCAGCGCTGGGATGAGCAGGAATCCCCTCTCCCAGCACTGGGATAATCAGGAATCCCCTCTCCCAGCACTGGGATAATCAGGAATCCCCTCTCCCAGGGTTGGGATGAGCAGGAATCCCCTCTCCCAGCGCTGGGATGAGCAGGAATCCCCTCTCCCAGCGCTGGGATGAGCAGGAATCCCCTCTCCCAGCACTGGGATGAGCAGGAATCCCCTCTCCCAGGGTTGGGATAATCAGGAATCCCCTCTCCCAGCGCTGGGATGAGCAGGAATCCCCTCTCCCAGCGCTGGGATAATCAGGAATCCCCTCACCCAGCGCTGGGATAATCAGGAATCCCCTCTCCCAGCACTGGGATAAGCAGGAATCCCCTCTCCCAGCGCTGTGATGAGCAGGAATCCCCTCACCCAGCGCTGGGATAATCAGGAATCCCCTCTCCCAGCGCTGGGATAATCAGGAATCCCCTCTCCCAGCGCTGGGATGAGCAGGAATCCCCTCTCCCAGCACTGGGATAAGCAGGAATCCCCTCTCCCAGCACTGGGATGAGCAGGAATCCCCTCTCCCAGCGCTGGGATAATCAGGAATCCCCTCTCCCAGCGCTGGGATAATCAGGAATCCCCTCTCCCAGGGTTGGGATAATCAGGAATCCCCTCTCCCAGCGCTGGGATAATCAGGAATCCCCTCTCCCAGGGTTGGGATAATCAGGAATCCCCTCACCCAGGGTTGGGATAATCAGGAATCCCCTCTCCCAGGGTTGGGATAATCAGGAATCCCCTCTCCCAGTGCTGGGATAATCAGGAATCCCCTCTCCCAGCACTGGGATAATCAGGAATCCCCTCTCCCAGCACTGGGATAAGCAGGAATCCCCTCTCCCAGCGCCAGCTCCTGGAGGAATGTCCTTTCCCGCAGGGATCTACACGAGTAACAAGGACCCGATCCCGCTGGGCGCGGCGCTGCGGGCGGTGTGCAGCACTCCGCTGCCCTCGGCGCTGCTCCCGCACCAGGGCAGCGCGGCGCTGCCGCAGCTCAGCCGCTCGCCCTTCGCCAGCTCCATCCCCGCCTGCTCCGCCTCCGCCGGCTCCACCACGCAGGTTCGGGGATGGGGAGCGCTCGGGGTTCGTTTTTGGGGGGGGGGGTTTGCGGTGGGGTTTTCCCTGGGTTTTCCAGTGGGTTTTCCCCTGGGTTTTCCATGGGTTTTCTGTAGGTTTGCCCTGGGTCTTCCGTAGGTTTGCCCTGCGTTTTCCCTGGGTGTTCCCATTGGTTTCCCTGGGTGTTTCCCTGGGTTTTCAGTGGGTTTTGGTGAGTTTTCGGTGGGTTTGCCCTGGGTTTTCCAGTGGGTTTTCTGTAGGTTTGCCCTGGGTTTCCCTGGGTTGTTCCCATTGTTTTCCCTGGGTTTTCCCTGGGTGTTCCCATTGGTTTCCCTGGGTGTTTCCCTGGGTTTTCCATGGGTTTTCTGTAGGTTNTTTCCCTGGGTTTTCCATGGGTTTTCTGTAGGTTCCCGGTGGGTTTTCTGTAGGTTTGCCCTGTGTTTTACCTGGGTGTTCCCATTGGTTTCCCTGGATTTTCCATGGGTTTTCCCGTGGGTCTTTCGTAGGTTTGCCCTGGGTTTTACCTGAGTGTTCCCATTGGTTTCCGTGGGTTTTCCGTGGGTTTTCAGTGGGTTTCGGTGGGTTTCCCTGGGTTTTCCATGGGTTTTCTGTAGGTTTCCCGTGGGTCTTCCATAGGTTTGCCCTGGGTTTTCCCTGGGTGTTCCCGTTGGTTTCCCTGGGTTGTTCCCATGGGTTTCCCTGGGTATTTCCCTGGGTTTTCCATGGGTGTTCCCATGGGTTTCCCATGGGTTTTCCATGGGTTTTCCCTGTCTGTTCCCATTGGTTTCCCTGGGTGTTTCCCTGGGTGTTCCCGTGGGTTTTCCCTGGTTTTTCCAGTGGGTTTTCTGTAGGTTTCCCGTGGGTTTTCCATAGGTTTGCCCTGGGTTTTCCCTGGGTGTTCCCTTTGGTTTCCCTGGGTGTTTCCCTGGGATTTCCAGTGGGTTTTCTGTAGGTTTCCCGTGGGTTTCTCGTGGGTTTCCAGTGGGTTTTCCCTGGGGTTTCTCGTGGGTTTTCCCTGGGTTTTCCATGGGTGTTCCCGTGGGTTTCCCTGGATTTTCCCGTGGGTTTTCCCTGGGTGTTCCCATTGGTTTCCCTGGGTTTTCCGTGGGTTTTCTGTAGGTTTGCCCTGGGTTTTCCCTGGGTGTTCCCATTGGTTTCCCTGGGTGTTTGCCTGGGTTTTCCAGTGGGTTTTCCCTGGGTTTTCCAGTGGGTGTTCCCATCAGTTTCCCTGTGTTTTCCCTGGGTATTCCCGTGGGTGTCCTCGTGAGTGTTCCCTGGGTGTTCTCGTGCGTTTCCCGTGGGTTTTCCTGTGGGTTTTCCCTTGGTTTCCCGTGGGTTTTCCGTGCGATTCCCCTGGGTTTTCCAGTCGGTGTTCCCGTGGGTATCCCCTGGGTTTCCCTTGGGTTTTCCCTGGGTGTTCCCGTGGGTTTCCCGTGGGTTTCCCGTGGGTTTTCCCTGGGTGTTCCCTTGAAGCTGCTCCCCATGAGGACACGGAAAGGGCGGAACAAAGGAATAAAGCCGGGATTTATTAAGAATCCTGCCCCCCTGGGCAGTGCCATCCCTGCCATCCCCACCCCTAGATCCCAGAGGGTCCCTGTGTCCCCCCGTGTCCCCCCGTGTCCCCCCGTGTCCCCCGGGATCCAATCCCTGCCTGGATGTCTCTGGCAAGAGCAGTTCCACCGGGAAGAGCGATGGGATCCACAGCATTCCCACAGCTCCAGCCGGCCCTGGGGACATTCCAGACCTGGCTCTAGGGGCATTCCAGACCCAGCTCTGGGGACATTCCAGACCCAGCTCTGGGGACATTCCAGACCCAGTTTTAGGGACATTCCAGACCCGGCCCTGGGGACATTCCAGACCCGGC